GAGTAAATAGGCATTTTAACTTGTGGAATAGACACCGGCTGGAATGCGGTTTTAACCAATCAGCATTCAGGATTAGACCCACCCGTTGTATAATGCGGAAGCATCACTGGATGTCATTGAGCCATGAGACAGCCTAATTGGATTCATTGAAGTCCTCTCAAATAGATAGGCTACTCATCCCTGCAACCCTCTTACCCTTTCACATCGGCCTGCCCACTGCCATGTTCCCGTCTCCCACCCAGCCGTGATACCTACACGGCCCGGCTCATAATGGCTGCCATTATCATGACAAGCACAACAATGGAAGTGATGGCAATTTGTCCAGGCCACTGCTGAGTCAACACAGTGTGTAGGACACGAAGTGCTTCTGAGACTGCCAGGTGAAAAAAATAAAATAAGTGCCATACTATTTTTGGTGATTTGTGGGATGGAAATAGCTATGCCGTGTTTTGAATAATCGTGATCCAAAAATGATCTTGTATTGGAGTAAAAATACATAGTAGCCTACCAACAACCATCAGACCAGAGCATAGATTCCTCAAACATCTCTGGATGCCAGACATCTGGCTATAGGCCTACCTCCCTGACAACTTACAGTGAGGGAAAAAAGTATTTGATCCCCTGCTGATTTTGTACGTTTGCCCACTGACAAAGACATGATCAGTCTATAATTTGAATGGTAGGTTTATTTGCACAGTGAGAGACAGAATAACAACAACAAAATCCAGAAAAACGCATGTCAAAAATGTTATAAATTGATTTGCATTTTAATGAGGGAAATAAGTATTTGACCCCTCTGCAAAACATGACTTAGTACTTGGTGGCAAAACCCTTGTTGGCAATCACAGAGGTCAGACGTTTCTTGTAGTTGGCCACCAGGTTTGCACACATCTCAGGAGGGATTTTGTCCCACTCGTCTTTGCAGATCTTCTCCAAGTCATTATGGTTTCGAGGCTGACGTTTGGCAACTCGAACCTTCAGCTCCCTCCACAGATTTTCTATGGGATTAAGGTCTGGAGACTGGCTAGGCCACTCCAGGACCTTAATGTGCTTCTTCTTGAGCCACTCCTTTGTTGCCTTGGCCGTGTGTTTTGGGTCATTGTCATGCTGGAATACCCATCCACAACCCATTTTCAATGCCCTGGCTGAGGGAAGGAGGTTCTCACCCAGGATTTGACGGTACATGGCCCCGTCCATCGTCCCTTTGATGCGGTGAAGTTGTCCTGTCCCCTTAGCAGAAAAACACAGCCAAAGCATAATGTTTCCACCTCCATGTTTGACGGTGGGGATGGTGTTCTTGGGGTCATAGGCAGCATTCCTCCTCCTCCAAACACGGCGAGTTGAGTTGATGCCAAAGAGCTCGATTTTGGTCTCATCTGACCACAACACTTTCACCCAGTTCACCTCTGAATCATTCAGATGTTCATTGGCAAACTTCAGACGGGCCTGTATATGTGCCTTGCGGGCGCTGCAGGATTTCAGTCCTTCACGGCGTAGTGTGTTACCAATTGTTTTCTTGGTGACTATGGTCCCAGCTGCTTTGAGATCATTGACAAGATCCTCCCGTGTCGTTCTGGGCTGATTCCTCACCGTTCTCATGATCATTGCAACTCCACGAGGTGAGATCTTGCATGGAGCCCCAGGCCGAGGGAGATTGACAGTCTTTTGTGTTTCTTCCATTTGCGAATAATCGCACCAACTGTTGTCACCTTCTCACCAAGCTGCTTGGGGATGGTCTTGTAGCCCGTTCCAGCCTTGTGTAGGTCTACAATCTTGTCCCTGACATCCTTGGAGAGCTCTTTGGTCCTGGCCATGGTGGAGAGTTTGGAATCTGATTGATTGATTGCTTCTTTGGACAGGTGTCTTTTATACAGGTAACAAGCTGAGATTAGGAGCACTCCCTTTAAGAGTGTGCTCCTAATCTCAGCTCGTTACCTGTATAAAAGACACCTGGGAGCCAGAAATCTTTCTGATTGAGAGGGGGTCAAATACTTATTTCCCTTATTAAAATGCAAATCAATTTATAACATTTTTGACATGCGTTTTTCTGGATTTTGTTGTTGTTATTCTGTCTCTCACTGTTCAAATAAACCTACCATTAAAATTATAGACTGGTCATTTCTTTGTCAGTGGGCAAACGTACAAAATCAGCAGGAGATCAAATACTTTTTTCCCTCACTGTATATGGTTGTAGTTCTTCTCATTCAGAGAACTGTCTGTGATTTGATCCACAATACAATAACACAGGTCAACAGTCAGCAAAGTATGAGTAGAGAAGACAGACCTATGATGTAAGCTAATGCGGATCCATTTGATCATTCATGTACAGTATGTCATGCGGGAAGCTGTTCATATGCATTTGCGGAAAGTACACAATTCTATATGTCAATCAGATTGTAGGAAGCTGTTTATACTACTCTGTCACAACACATTATCCATTGTTACTGTACCTTTCTGCATTTGCGGAAAGCAATATTTGATGAACGCCATCGCTCTATGTGACAATTATGGTGTAGGAATATATAAAGAGGAACATGCTCGTGTCTTGATTGATGTTTAGGCGTAGAGAGCGGTGTATCGCTATAGAGAGCTGAAACGTCTATGTAGCTGTCCATGGTGCTGAAATCTATTGCGGCAGCTCTAAACTAAAGCATTTGCGGGGAGAGGGAAGGTTGCTTTGTGGTGTGATGGCATCTTTAAGGCACATACCAACTTCTATATGTCAATCCAATTGTGGGAAGCTGTTTATACTACTCTGTCACAACACGTTATCCATTGTTACTGTATCTTTCCAAATGGACCACATTTGGAGATCCGTGAAATCGAAGTTTGTGAACATGCAACATGTTAGACGCGTTACACTTATGACTGTTAATCTATTTTGAGCCTTAAAAAAAAGCATCTGTCTAAAAATAGGGACAATTGGAGATGGAAGCGGGGGTGCGCCACTGAGTGCATGTGTCAGTCACTGGTGAGAGCTATTTATAGAAACGACGAGATTCATCTCTGCGCTCAAGCTCTGTTTGCAACAGGTCTAGTGTGTGTGTATGTACACTCAGAGTATCCTATAAAATATATAAAAGACTACAAAACAGTTTGTATGCTTCAAATATCACATAGACTATTTGCTGAACTTTAACACGCAGTAAGAACACCAAGACACAATTGTTGCAACATACCTTCTTCATACAGTTCCTTTCAAATAATTTCACAAAACATCACATTTCATCTCAAATTGAGCTTCCACAATTTACTGGATCCGACTGTCGTCTGTCACAGGTTTTTACACATCAGTAGTAGAAGTAGTTAAAAATGACTGCTGCACAGCCTCCATCCCCAACCAAGCCTTCCAACATTATGATTTAGGCAACGTTTTATAGGATAGTTTGATTGAAGAGGGTGTATTTTGGGCAAGATCAAACTCTGGTCTTATCTGTTCAGCCCATAGAGAACGGGTTGGGTATGATCAGGTTATTGGGATCTATGTTTTTCGACAAAGCAAAAAATACACAATTTGCTAAATACAAACATGGGTGCTTCTAAATAAGATAACACTGTAACCTTTGGAAATGGTTACAAGGCTTTCCCAAATAATTCCCAGTTTGGATGCAATCCACACATAGCCTAAGGTTTTCAACCAGAAGAATCAGCCAGGTTTCGATGCATAGACAAGACATAGCTCAGCATCACCCTTAGCTACATTCCGCTCAAATTACCTTAAAAGGATGGATGTTGCAGTTTATGTAACATATAGGCTATACAGCGCGATTAGCCTGTCTCTCTTACAGTATGCCCTGTAGGATTACCGACCCCCCTCCTCTGCCTTTGCGTGTTAGCCCCGGAGGCACTGCGCAGCCTGACAACGGAATTACAGTCAGAATGGTGCACTCCATTCATAAAAAGAGACTGAATATGGTGATGTAACACTGCCCCACTGTCCCGCGTTTCTCCCTGAAGCAGAATTCCACCGATGCTAGAATATATTTTTGCTGGAATATCGTTAATGTATAACGTTGGCATGCATCTGCATGTGTTACCCTAGAGGTCGACGGTGGACGGTTTTACGGAATGCATCGCATCGTTCATAATCATAACATGAAACATATTATGAGCTAGTCTGGCGAGGCATAGATGCATTTGCATCATGTAGGCTACTGATAACTTAGACTACACTATATTAGGAATTATACATTTTCAGAGAGGATCAATTGTTCCTCGGGTGCCAGACATAGAAATAGAGCTTCTCTTTCGTATGCATCTCAGTTTCACTGCCCCCCCCCCCCCCCCCCCTCCCGTACACCGGGGTCCGGTGACTCCGTCTACGTTTTACGTTTGTCTCCGCCCATTCCTCGGTTTTGTCCAAATCGGGCTTTTTGCGTCGCCGGAGCTCCGGATATCAAGCCAACGTCATCATTGTGTAGAGGGAAGCGCTGACGTCAGAAAAGTGTCACCGAAAGGAGAGGGTAGGAGCGGTAGGGGGAGCGGGCAGAGGGAGATAATTTCACCATTGCTAACATTGAATCTCCCTCGGCCCCCCTTCCCTCTAGCCCCCCTCTCCCTACGACGTCGGTGTTGGCGCGTTGGGAGCCCCCCTTCGTCACCGGAATCCCAGCCTATATAACTTACTCGAGAGCAGAGTCCCTCCACCAGATTTACGGGATCCGGATATCTGGGCGAGAGACGGCTACTACAGCCGCCGAATCACTCACACTCCGAACCGGTGGAAAGCCATCCAGCGGCTAGCCAGTAACCTTACTGGACGCTGTGGCGGAACCGAAGAGGAAAAAAGAAAGGATATGAGAAGGTCTGAAGCCTTACTCTGGAACGAGCTGAGATGAAAGTCCAATAGTAAAACGACAAGGTTATTACTACTAGCCTATCTCTCTGACACCTCATCTTGGCGGAAAGAGTCCCAAACCTCATCTGACGCAACGGTCAATACTCCGTTGAGTTTCACATTCAACTCCAGGGAATTTAGTCAACCACTATAACAGGCTACAATGTATCGATCAACGAAAGGCGCGTCGAAAGCTCGAAGGGACCAAATCAACGCAGAGATTCGGAACCTGAAGGACTTGCTTCCCATATCCGATGCTGACAAGGCACGGCTCTCATACCTACATATCATGTCCCTTGCCAGCATGTACACCAGAAAATCGGTCTTCTTCTCTCAAGGTAAGCGCGACTTAGCTTATAACAGACAAGTTCAAATACACTCAGTGTATAATCCATAGCCTGCCTGTTGATTCATAACTAAGAAATGCTTGTGAATGAAACATATACTGACAAACTGTTGCTTCCATCCGTCTGAGCTAGTTGCATGCTACTTTGGGCTTTCCGCTTGAATCAACAGGTCTTGTCGAAAGAAACAGTTGATGAACTTCATATCTATATGTGAATTATGTTGTTTAGGAATACATATAATGGAATATTATAGTGCTCTGTTTGATGTTCTGGCGTGAAAAACTATTTTAGAGCGGAGTGTCGCTATCTAGGACTGAAACGCTTCTATCGCTGTCCATGGTACTGAAATGTAATGCGGCCGTTCTATAGCCATTGCGGGGAGCAGAAACGTTACATTTGTGGAATGATGACATCCTTTACCTAGACAAAAACATAATAAAACATTTTTTCCCATCATCTTTTGTTTTTAGAATCGGGATCTGCCGGCAGTCTCGAGGAAAGCTCGAGGTTCCTGTCTTTCCACGAGCTGTCAGAGCTGGTGCAGGAGCTACCAGGGTTCCTTCTCCTGCTGACGGGGGAAGGCAAGCTGCTCTACCTGTCAGACAGCGTCTCCGACAGCCTCGGCCACTCCATGGTGAGTCCACGGGAGACCATATCATGTCTAAATATGAAACTAGTAAGTTAGCTGAAATTTAGATTTTGTCTCAAGGATTCCATGAATATACTAAATAAGAACTACTCTTTCTCGATGTTTCAGGTGGATCTGGTTGCCCAGGGTGACAGTGTGTATGATATCATTGACCCTACTGACCACTTCATCATGAGGACCAACCTGGCCCCTCCTACATCAACTGATACAGGTAAGACACGCCTCCATATTTCCAATGGTACAGAAACGCGTTGCAAATGGCTTGCATTTATATCACTCAGATCATTTCTGATATTCACAATCCTTCCTTACCTCTTCTTTCTCTCAGATCGTCTATTCCGTTGTCGTTTCAATACTTCCAAGTCGGTGCGCAGGCAGAGTGCTGGGAACAAGCTGGTTCTGATCCGGGCGCGCTGCCTTTTCCCACCCTCCTCTTCTACCACCCCTAGCTCCTACTGGACATCCAATCCTGTCTGGATGTGCTTCTGTTCCCCTCTGGAGGCCATCCAGACCCACTCTGGCCCTGGGGGGGACCAAGTTCCTGCTCTGATCCCTCCTGCTGCGGAGAACAACTTCTTCCTAGCCTCGTTCCAGTCTCAACACAGCCGAGACATGAGGCTCCAGAATGCACAAGACAGGTGAGGTCACACCCAATGACCAGGCAGTGCCACCTGTTGCTTTAGATCATCTGAGTGATGGCATGACTTGTATGCTTTATAGTTAGAAGTATGTTAAACACATAGACTTACCATGTCTTCTCTCCATCTTCCCTGCAGTGTCAGTGTTTACCTTGGCCTTGATGTGTCAGCCCTGAGGTCTCGCTCCTGGTACAGCCTCCTCCACCCACAGGACCTGTCACACGCCTCCACTCAGCACTATAGCCTGTGTAAGTACCAATTCAGTTCACCACACAACAACCACACACAGACGCACCAACACACATCAACACAAATGCGAACTCAATTATAATTTATCCACCATTACATGGAGCAATCTTCACTACAAACTCACCATTAAAGTTCTGTGATGTGATCAGTTGTAGAACAATGTCTGATGTTGATGTTCTCTCTTTGTTCCCCCACAGTGAGAGAAGGAGGAGAGGGTAGATCTGAGATGGTGGTACGGGTGGAGTCTGCAGACCACTCCTGGGTCTGGCTCTACATGGTACTGCAGCTGGAGGCAGGAGACAGCCCCATCAGCAGCAACAACTACATCATCAGGTACTACCTCTACCCTATGACAGATCATTATAACACATTGTCAATAGATATAAAGGAGATGACTGATTGCAAGAAGCACAAGGGAATCTTACTGACCATTTCCATCTCTCTCTCTTTCTGTTTCTCTCTCAGTGAGACGGAGGCGTGGTCAGTGAGACAGCAGCTGAGCACAGAGCAGACCCAGCTGACCCTTGTACTGAGTACCAGTACCTCCCGCCAGGACAGCCTGAGCCTGTCCAGCCCAGACCAAGTCTTCACCCCAGGCAGCAGTGGCCTCTCAGCCCAGTCCTTTGACTTCAGCATGACTGTGTCCAGCAGTGTGGGCTCCTCCGACGAGACAGGGGGCGCCACCACTGAGCCAATGCAGGTGGAGGGTGACCCTCGCTCTAGTATTTCCTCTATTGAGGAGGAGAGCTTCTTCCAGCAGCAGCAGATGCCTGCCCCTGTCCAAAGCCCCTCTGCTGCCTCCTCCCCCACCCCAGTTACCGTTGCAACGGTAGCAGACCTGGACTTCCTCACTCAGAACATTCTCCTGCCCCCCTCCTTCCAGCTCGAGCCCCCGCTGCCCACCCTCCCCCTTCCCCTCCCCCCAGTGCCCACCTCCCAGGAGCAGCAGACCAAAGAGTTTGTGTGCACGCCCCCCTACACACCCCAGCTGGGCGTGGGCAGCTTCCTGTTCAGCGAGCCCCTCTTTAGCTTCGACCCCACAGGCACCACCACACCCCCTCCCTCCACCACCACCACAGCTACAGCCACCACCTCCATCGCCCCCTCCGCCCCACCCACCACAGCCTCCAGTCCTGCTCCCCCCTCCTCCCTGTGCCTCACTGGTCCCTCCACTGACCTGTTCTTCCCTGCCGATCCCTGCAGTGGCTCTCTCTATGAGAAGCTACCCCCCACCCCTGACAGCCCTGGGGATGGGGACTGCACAGTGATGACCTTGCCAGAGGTTCGGGGACCCCTGTATGTAGATGTCCCTTTAGGGCCCTTTCACTACCCCCTCGACGGCCTCCTCACCCCAGAGGCCTCCCCCGGTAAACAGCCTGGTCTCTCTTTCTTCTCCCTGGAGAAAGAGAGGGAGAAGGAGAGAGCAGAGATCTCCTTCTTAGCTCAGCACATCAGCTCCTTAGCAGAGGGATTCTACCTGGATCCTCTCTTATCCAAGCTATCCCCTCCTTCCATGTCCCCCTCCCCCACCCTAGCACCATCCCTAGCCACCGCTGGTGTTGACTCTATCCACATGCTGGGAGAGTTTTGCCCCGTTAAAGCATGGAGAGGCCTGGACTTCCCCATATACCAAGATGATGATGACTCTCTGTTTGAAGAGAGCATCTTAGAAGCCTTTCTCCAGGACTTCTCCACCCCTCCGCCCCTCTCCCCCACCCCCTCCATCCCCCCGCCCTCTCCCCCTAACCCAGTGTGCTGGCACTCACCCTCCCACTTTGAGGGGGTCAGCCACTTCTGTAGCGTCCAATCAGCGCACTGTAACCCCACGGCCAGGTGCGGGGCGACATTGGCTGGCGAGGCCGGGGCGATGGCAGAATGGGAGGGGCTGGGAGAGGAGTCGATGGAGATCGAGGTGGCGTCATCACCTCTGTCTTCCTGTTCCTCCATCACAGCATCCCCTCCCCTGCGACTCATTGCCTCCCCCACCTTCGCCCCCTCCACGCCCGTCGCCCCCAACATGCCGGCCGTGCCTTGCGCCCAGTCCCTCCTGGAGGAGCTGGCCGCCCTGGAACCCATGTTTGGGGCAGGTGCCTCGATCGCCCCTGGCTTGGGGCAGCAACCTGAGTTGTATCAACTCCAGTGTCACCAGCCGCCACAGTGCTTCCACAAAGGTGAGAATCATTCAGTTAACTTGTTCTACTGTCTTTCTCTGTTTGATAAATTTATGAATATGTGTTAACCCTGAACATACAAGACTAATGCCCCTTTCTCTTTCTCTCTTGTGTTTTTCAGATGGGAGTGGAAGTGTTCCTCCGTTCTAAAATAAGTCTGTGACTTACTTCATTAAGTATGGCATATTGTCATATTTCGTGGAGCTATTTTACTGAAAAGTAAAGATGATTTAAGTGTATAAATATATACATAATGTATACTACTGAAGGACTTTAACTCCTACATGTCTACTGAGGACAAAGATTGCCTTCATATTTTTGTTCATTTATTTATTAACAATTTCACATTTAATTTCAACATTGACATAATGGTGCAATATTTACCAACTGAATGTACCCATGACTGACTGAGTTTTGGGTCCATTTGGTGCCACAGCTTTTCTGTAACATGAGCTTCAGATTTTATCAGACAGAGACGTAACAAAACCTCTGACCTTGTAAAGCGCCGTTTAACTTCCAGACGCGCATTTGTATTCACTCATAGTGAAAAACCTGTTGTGAACAAAACAATAAGAATACCTTCTTTGATATTTCAATAGGGAAATGACTTAGAGCATTATTGCTTGTAATGCAGCAACGCAAACCCAAATCACAAATGTGGTGAAAGTTTATGTTTACAAAATCTCTACTGACCTGGTACAACCGATGACAGTAGCTGACAAAAGGGGACCAGATTTCCTCTCTCACATCCTCAATATTCAGTTTCCAGAGAGACACAGTTCTTCTACTCTGACCTTATTGTACTCCTCCCTTGTCATAGCTTTAATGGCCATGTCTAAACTTACAAATACTGTAGTCAAACTAACCTAATACTTCAGACACTTTGAGCTTTGAGTTTGCGGCTGCCCATTTTAAAACATTTGGCTTCATGTTATTTCTCCATTACAAACTTGTGTATCAATGTGATGGTGTGCAACCAAAAAAAAAACAATACAAAACATATGAAGACATAGGTCTTGGAATGTCCACAAGCAAGAACACATGACGAAGGTTTCCGTCCTTTACCAGAAGGCGTTGCCAAATGGAAATCGTCTGGAAGTTACTCAACAACTGTGTGTGGTTCTGTTGTGTACAGGACCAGCACATTGTACATTAGACTCTGAATGTGGGCTCTTTAGGTCATTGTTCTCTTGGGCTTGGCTTCAAGGGCAGCTCTGCTGGATTTTCTTGCAGCATCAATATTTGCAATGCTGGCAGTTTATAGCGGCTCCTGTGTGCCTGGCATGGCCATGACCTGCTGAACTCTGAACTCTATCTGAACTCTTTCTCTGTGTCCATGAACCAATGGACAGACAGTCACATCATAGCTCTACGTGAGTTATGGTGTTGTGGGGCACAATATGGCTGTGAATGACTGTATGATTCTTCTTTTTTGAGAGGGGTTTGACAAAAATGGAAGTTTTGTTTTAAAAAATGACCTGAAAATAGTGTGATGGGGTGCTATTTCTATTCAGTTCCTCCTAAGCGACACAGGTTGAGAATGGTACTATTCCCATGGTGTCGACATGCTAACGTAGAGTTGTCTACGGTCAAGTAAAGGATTGATTCCTACGTTCTAGCTATTAAATGCTAAGTTTAACATATGTTTAAGTATTATATTGTATGTGTTAAATTGAAAAAGAAAAAACTATTGATGTTCAATGCATAATGCATTATGTCTGTGGATATATGCACATGCAATTTTTTTGAAGGGTTGTACATATTTGTACATTTGTATGAATACATCAGTCTGTACATATCAGAGACATTTCTATTGTTTAAGATGGACTATATACATGATGATATATTGAAGAATGGACATTGTGGATCAGTGTTCTCTTGTGTTGCTGATAAGTGTATTTGGTTGTCAAACAAATGCATTTATATTAAAGTGCACTTAAAGCGGCTGGATCCCTCTGTGTTGTCACTTCCAGTCCTCCTCACCCTCCTCCTCCTTCTACCTACTCTCATCATCTTCCCCCCATCCCTCCTTCCTCTTCCCTCCCTCCCTCGCTCTCTCCTCCGTTTCTTCCCCTGGAGCGAGCTCCGCTCAGCAACAGCACTGACGCCACGATCTGACTCAGACTGACGCACACGCTCCACACCGAGGCTCTCACACACAGACACACAGGGGCGGACTGGGACCAGAAATCGGCTCTGGCATTTGTAACTTGCCGGCTAATGTTTTTCCACCTGACCTTTTTTCCCCCTCCAAGCCCCCACAATGTTTTTCCTTGAAGCCCCCATTATTAGCCAGATAATTATATTTTGCACAAAAAAACTAAACTAGTTAGACAGGCCCACAAGGCAAAAGATTGACCAGCCCATTTGACATTTGTCCAAAATGCCAGATGGCCAGCCCGCCCCTGCAAGCACACACAATAGGAGCCCCCCATCTTTACAAATAGCAGCAGCTCACACTCACTCAATGTACCTGCTACTCTGAGAGCGTGCTGTGATGGTGTCAGACTCCATATATAGGCATTCCTGTGTCGAAGCTCTGATTCAAGCAGCCCCCTCTTTCCTCAGCCTCCGATTCAGATGGGAGGGAGGACTGGGGGAGCCAGAGAGAGAGAACGAGAGAGAGGGGAGAGAGGGGGGAGAAAAGGAGAGCAAGAGCAGAGAGGAAGCCAAAACCAGAGAGAAAGAGGGACAGAAATTATGAATGTACTATCAATCACTGACTAGTACCCAGTGAAAGCTCTGTGCTCTTCACATCATGGAGGGCACATTTGGGTAAAATCACTAATGTTACATGAGTGATGGGCATTGCCATGTTACTGTGCAAATGCATCCTGCCACCTCTCTCATCTCCTTTGACATTTAGAATAGTCATCCCCCAGGTCCCTCAAATCTAATCTCAGAAGCAGATCTGTAGGATAGGGTACAAGTATGAGACCTTTAATATCTTATATACTAAACCTGGAGAGACAAAGCTTTGCCATAGCAACATTATGTTTCAGCACCAGACGATTTCACTGCAGTGAGCCTCCTGGAAATGAGAGCAGCAGAGATAGAGCAGACTATAGCTCTCTCCTGCCATCTTGTGGCAAGAAAAAGTAGTACATTTTCAACTACGAACTCGTTGAGCCAACTACTGCTGATACTGGAGTGACAGAGGGAGATTCCCAATTGGTTTTTTGGGCGCCTCCTTTCCTGTGTCCTCTCCTCCTCTCGTTTTGAATAAAGGTAAAAGGTAATGGAGGAGAGTGGCGGAGATTGAACGTGGAAGGAAATGCAGAGTAGTTTCTAGAATTTTGGGGGGGCCCTAAGCAGAATTTGGTTGGGGAACCCCCGACCTCACGGATAAAACATTTTAGTGTCCTCTTGGGAGCAGAGTGAAAAATGTGAAGCTATGAAGTTAATGTTCTGCAATTCTATACATTTTGCCTTTGGGTGTATAATATTTTTTGCACTTTTAAAGCAAATTTCCTGCAATTCTACACATTTTGCCATGACTTTTGCCATTCTCACATTTGGTATTTTGGTATTTTATTAGGATCCCCTTTAGCTGTTGTGAAAGCAGCAGCTACTATTCCTGGGGTCCACACAAAACATGAAACATGACATAATACAGAACATTAATAGACAAGAACAGCTCAAGGACATAATTACATACATTTAAAATCGGCACACATAGCCTACACATCAATACCTACACACAAAATATCTAGGTCAAATAGGGGCGAAGCGTTGTGCCGTGAGGTATTGCTTTATCTTTTTTTTTAATCAGGTTTGCTGTTCATTTGAGCAATATGAGATGGAAGGGAGTTCCATGCAATAATGGCTCTATATAATACTGTACACTTTCTTGAATTTGTTCTGGATTTGGGGACTGTGAAAAGACCCCTGGTGGCATGTCTAGTGGGGTAAGTGTGTGTGTCAGAGCACATTAATGTTTCTTATAAAAAGAAGAAGTGATGCAGTCAGTCTCTCCTCAACTCCCAAGTGGACATTCTCTCTTTTTCCCCTGACCCATCTGTCTATCTCCTCATTTGAATTCCATGCTGTCACAGTCACTAGTCCATTCAAGCTTAACATCCTTGTCATTTATCGCCCTCCAGGTTCCCTTGGAGAGTTCCTTTCCTGAGGATGGCTCACCCCTCACAGTTCTGGGTGACTTTAACCTCCCTACGTCTGCCTTTGACTCATTTCTCTCTGTCTCCTTCTTTCCACTCCTTTCCTCTTTTGACCTCACCCTCTCACCGTCCTCCCCTACTCACAAGGCAGGCAATACGCTTGACCTCATCTTTACTAGATGCTGTTCGTCTACTAATCTCACTGCAACTCCCCTCCAAGTCTCCGACCACTACTTTGTATCCTTTTCTCTCTCGCTCTCCTCCAACACTACTCACTCTGCCCCTACTCAGATGGTAATGTGCCGTCGCAACCTTCGCTCTCTCTCTCCCGCTACTCTCTCCTCTTCCATCCTATCATCTCTTCCCTCTGCTAAATCCTTCTCCCTCCGATCTCCTGATTATGCCTCCTCAACCCTCCTCTCCTCCCTTTCTGCATCTTTTGACTCTCTATGTCCCCTATCCTCCCGGCCGGCTCGGTCCTCCCCTCCTGCTCCGTGGCTTGACGACTCATTGCGAGCTCACAGAAGAGGGCTCCGGGCAGCCGAGCGGAAATGGAGGGAAACTAGACTCCATGCGGACCTGTCATCTTTTCACTCCCTCCTCTCTACATTATCTTCCTCTGTTTCCGCTGCTAAAGCCACTTTCTACCACTCTAAATGTCAAGCCTCTGCCTCTAACCCTAGGAAGCTCTTTACCACCTTCTCCTCCCTGCTGAATCCTCCTCCTCCTCCCCCTCCCTCCTCCCTCTCTGTGGATGACTTCGTCAACCATTTTGAAAAGAAGGTTGACGACATCCAATCCTCATTTATTGTCAAATGACACCGCTGGTCCTGCTCACACTGCCCTACCCTATGCTTTGACTTCTTTCTCCCCTCTCTTTCCAGATGAAATCTTGCGACTTGTGATGGCCGGCCGCCCAACAACCTGCCCGCTTGACCCTATCCCCTCCTCTCTTCTCCAGACCATTTCCGGAGACCTTCTCCCTTACCTCACCTCGCTCATCAACTCATCCTTGACCGCTGGCCATGTCCC